GGTAGCGTGGCAGCACGAATTTGGTTTTCCAAGTAGGACCACAAATGCTCTATTGGATTAAGGTCAGGTGAATTTGGGGGCCAAGACATGACTTGAAAGTCACTGGAATGTTCCTCGAACCAATCCATGACGATTCGACCCTTAAGACATGGTGCATTATCCTGTTGGTGAACACCACCCCCCGCAGGAAACTCTGTTGCCATGAATGGGTGAACCTGGTCTGCAACTATGTTCAAGTAGCTTACAGACTTCAGGTATTGTTCTATGAGGATTATGGGTCCTACCTAATGTGCCCCATGAAAACATTGTTCCTGGGCGAGAAACCATGAAAACCTGGGTGAGCCCATTGTTATAGATGGAGGGTTGTCATAATGCAATGGCTCTTCGGTGTATCTTTAAATGCTATTATAACTTTTTTTCCCTCCCCTTTTACTATTTTTGATTCCCTCTAATTGCTACAAACTGTCACTAGTAATTATCGTCACTAGTAATTAACTTTTCATAAGTTACAGTTTCTATTAAATTCATGAAATTAGCAAATTTTTCTTTCGATGGACTGACTGTCTTATTTTTACACAGGTATCATAGTTCTTTTTATCTAAGAAATTTGGGAAATCAAGGGTTACTGAGAAATATTTTTGTTAAATAAAGGTGCGTTTTCCATTATCAGAATAGCCAATGCTGAAGTGATTTTTCATGATATCGAAAAAATCGTGTTATCAAAGTTTGCTACAATCCAGGTTCGACTGTTAATTTATTGGAAGAAAATGGTTATAGTTTTTTTTTAATAGTTTGATATTCAAAGATGATAAGTACATTTTTTTTTGCCTATTATATAGAAGTCAAAGGTAGGGAAATCTTATAAAACGTCATAGAATTTCTTCTCCTTTTTAATTTAGTCAGAAGGAAAATTAAAAAACAATTGGGATTTTGAAAGCATTTTCTTCCCAACTGCTTAATATCATTAAAAAATTTAAGTAAGAATTTCACAATTGTGTTACAAAAAATAGTACAGTACTAATGCATTGCGTTATTTTATGATTATCATATGCTACTGATGATGATTTTAATCATCAAATGCTGATATTTTTGTTACTGATATTTGCATATTATTATCCGATTTTTTTTAAAAGTTCCTTGGTAAATATTTAAAAGGAATTTTTTTTTCTAAAAATAACTAAACATACAACAACCATTATCAAGAAGAAGAAAACACTACAGTCATTAATTTAAAAGAAAAAATAAAGCAAATAAAAATATACCTGTATCTGTATTTAGAACCCAGTCGAAATATTTGCATCGGATTTCCTGAAATGTCTTTCACTTGAGTAAGTCTGAAAAATAAAATAAAAAAGCAGTTATAGACTTTTAGAACGAGATAAAGTGTTTATAATTCCCACAATGATTATAATCATGCAGGGTGTTTGAAAAGTACTACTATAATGGTCTAATATCTCTAGCCATACACATCGGATCAAAAATAAAGAAATACACGTGCCAAATATTTCAGAAAAAAGTATTACGAATAATACCAAACTCGAACCTAAGCATGCCCCTAGTGCGTGGGTTGCAATTTCAAAATCGTTAAGAACCTTCCTTTTTTATGGCACAGTGAGAGTAAAAAATACCCTAATAATTGGATTTTCAGGTTTTGCATTTGTTCACAAATTGGGCTGTAGTTGACGAGATATGAAAGCGGTGTGAAAGAAAACGGGTTTGCAAAAAAAAAAAAAGGGAAAAATGAAAATGAACCTCGAAAAATAACCCGTCAGTGTCAAAATTAAAATTTGGCATGTTTTAAATCCCCTATTCTGTAAAGTGGAGATCAGGCAGAATAATGACGCTCAAATTGAGGTCTGGGGGGGGGGGGTTNGGGTTTAGTTTGGTAATACAGTACAGAACCCGTTATCCGGAAATCAGAAAACCGGAAAACCCAAAAACCGGAACGAAATTCTATAAATTTTCCCGCCATTTTTTAAATTTTTTTTTTCCTTATAAGATTTTAGGGTTTTTCATTCTTTTTTGAAAGATGTTTACTTTACCATCATTTTGGAAATAATCATTAGTGTATTACTTCATCGTTTTTTCTTCTGTTTAATATTATTTCCAAATATTTTTTTTTTTTTAGTTAGGTTTAACAATAGAAAAAACGGCTTTTTGTAGCAATTCAGAAAACCGGAAAAATCAGTTATCCGGAATAACGAAGGTCCTGATCGTTCCGGATAATCGGTTCCCTACTGTATTTTAAAAATATTTAATATGTTTATTTGGTGCTCATAAGAAAATAGCACCTGAAAAAACAGCGCCGTAAATAAAGAGCTTGCTTAGTAATTATTTGAATTTAACAATTTCGGCCATTGAGCCAGAATTTAATATCATTAAATACTAATTCGAATGACATTATAGATTTTTTTTTAGAAATTGACTGATATATACAAGCATTAATTTAAATTGTACGGAAAGGAACTTTCCCTACCTTATTTGATTTAAAAAAAGATTAGGACTCTAAAGCAATTCTAAAATTGCTCTAAATTTCAAAAATTAAAATTGTAGTAGGATTTAACAATGATATAAAAATTATTCTTTTAAAAATATTACAAAATATTACAATTAAAAATATTTTTTAAAAATATTACAATAAATTTAAATACTTTTTCAGTTTCGTTAGCATTTTTAACTTATTGAACGATTTTGCCCCTGAGAAACTATTTTTTACTTATTAAACGATTTTGCCCCTGAAAGACTAATGCCAATTGATTTAACAGATAAATTAGTTATCGGATTATAATACTATTGCATATTATATAATTTCATTAAAAATATAAAGTATTAAAAGTTATATTCTTTCAATTCCAAATTAAGCGTTGTATAGTATTAGTTATTGTTTTTTAAAAATACATCTATTTATGCTCGAAAAATTATTAAATTTCAATAAACTCGCATGCAACGGCCTGAATCGAACAGGAAGCTAAATTTATATGCAGTCAAACCTCGATATCTCGAACTTGAAGGGAGAGGAGAAAAAATTCGAGATATCAAAAATTCGAATTATCGAAAATCGCATGTTATCGATGGTAGAATAAGGAAAAATGCTCTTTACTTACCTTATTTACTATTCCACATTTATTCTAAAAATACTTTTTACACTTTCATTTAAAAAAAGATTCAATTATTGTTTGCTTTAGAGATGTGTAAGAAAGTTTGTCTATAACACTTTCTAAGTGGACTATAGCTTTAAATGTCTCCTCAGACATATTCGGCTGCCTCTCAATGAATCTCCTTACAGTGTCCACTACAGAAAGTGCTTGTTTGTTAGTAACATTGGGCGGTAAATTTTCGATTTCCTCATCCTCTTCTTCTGACAGTTCACAAGAAGTTTTCGTTTGAGCGATGATATCATTGTCATCCCACTGACCACACAAACCACACACTGTTCCTGCATCATCTACGTATGCAAAGTCATGAAATTCCATGCCATCAAGCCGGTCAATCTGTCCTAATCATTTTCGTTGTAGTTTTCAGCAGAATTAACAATATTGATTGTATGACTACTTTCGTGATCTTTAATAAATCCAGACTTCTTGAGGAAGACACATCATTCTATGCCTTGTCAGCCAATCTTAAATTTTTTTGGAGTATTTTTTTAATTTAAAAAAAAATTTACACTATTTATGGAAAAAAATTCAAGTTATCGAGGGATTAGAGAAAAACATTCGTGAAATCAAGCTTTTTTTAACATTGAGTGTATAGGAAATTTGAATGGAATTTTTTTTCCTTCGAGATATCGAAAAATTTGTGAAATCGAAGTTCGAGTTAGCGAGGTTCGACTTTAATAGTATGCTAAATTTATGTAATAGTAACCCATAAGATGATCACACAAAGATAGTATTACTATTCAAGAAACCTGTGGGATCATGAAATAGAAGAGAACAATCAACTAGACCAACATAAAACAAAGACTTGAAATCTTTAAGAACCAAAAATTGGAGACGTGCAGATAGAAGACGCGGAAAAGAGCACGTGGTTGAGGCAGTCAAGGGCTGCTGTACTTGAGAAGAAGTTAGTTGATTCAATGCATATTTGACTTAAAATAATATATTAGTATTGAAATTGAGAAAGGGAATTTATCGATTTGAAGAATTACGCCCTATTTTCATAATAAAACGATGCATGATGGAGGCAATTGTTTGTCGAATGCGTAAAGTAGTACTACCTGAAGAAAGCGTGATGTTCTACACAACATCTCCAAATGTATTCACAAGACTCTCTGGATGGAAGGAGGAAACCGTAAGTCATCTCATCATTCTGAAAGAAATCAATTTTTGGGAATGAAGATAATTTGTAAATAACCATAAGGGAATTTCGTTACGTTATTTTATTACTGGGAGCTTCTCAAAAGGTAGGGACGCAGCGAATTTTGTGTTTTCATTAGATACTTGTGGTGATATATGCACTACTTATGCAGAATGCTTCTCGATTTGAAAATACTATAATAGATTTTTTCGTGTAATTTCAGGACATTAAATTATCTTAAACTATTGCCAGTGTGATCATTAGGCGATTTGGACTACTCCCGATATTGTACTTAAGAAAATGATATTTGTTTGCAAAAATATTTAATAAAATGCTTCAAAATGATTTGAAAATTGTTTTGGTAGTGGATAAATAAATTTAAACTAATAACTTAATGTATTTTCTGTTAAAGTAATAGCGCTGTTTCGCACGTTATATTTGGACCAACTCTGAAACTCTAGATAACTTTTTTAAAAATATATCACACAGTACAATACAACTTATTTCATGCTACCATTTGTTAAGAATATTATCACACAATCATCCATACGGAACTTTATTTTATTTTATTTTTTTAGACATCTAGAAACTACCATTTTTTTAACAGTATCAAAATAAAAAATCGGCAATTATTTTAAACCTTTTCCTATAGTCATTTACTGAAATTTTAGCAAAAACTAAGTTCAATTATTGTCATTAAACAGAATTTCAAATGAAACATTTTTATTGGTAATTGGGTACTTGAAATGATGATGCCAAACCATGTGATTTAAATCAGATTTAATTGGATCCTGTAAGCGACGTCACGCTTGTGTGTCGAGTCTGATTAGCTTTTATATCGACAAATGCCACGATTTACATACAATGATGTCACTTGCATTTATCTAATTGAATTCAAGCTTAACTGTTGTCAGAACTTAAAGTTTAAATCTGACCTAAATTCACCATTGGAGAGCTGTCATACTAAACGCTTTTATAAACTCACTTTGGTGGATGTAATGGAGCAATCTTGCAATTGAAATTTCCTCCACTTTCTGATAAGCAAGAGCTCTCAAAACTTTACTAGAGCTCCGTACTTTTGTGACCTTTTGTTTTCTGACTGTTACAAGCAGAATTTATTGTCATAGAGAAACAAAAAATTCTTCGCCAGTCGAAATTTTATTCGCCATACGATAATTAATTTTATTTATTTCTCAAATTTTAATTTAGAACTCAGTGTTGAATTTGAATACAAATTTCAATCGTTGCCCAACCTTTGCGCGCAAGATTTATATAAACAAACATAATTTATTTTCCAATGAAGAAATTCCGAATGATTGGAGTGCTTAAATTTCAATTGAAAATCTGTAACCGATGCCAATACAAGCTATAAATGTTTCCGAAGTAGTGCAAGTAAGATTTATCACCATTCAAAATTTTGACCACTTTCTGACGTCAGCAAACGCACAAAAACCAAACTAAAAAGGGGAAAATAATAAAATAAAATCGAAATTTTCAAAATTTATATTTTCTAAATCAACTAAAAAAATTTAGTTTTTTTTTTGTCAAACCTTAACGGTCGAAAATTCCTCTAGGTGTTTTAAAACTGATGCATTCTTCCTTTTTCTTGATTTAGTGTAAAGAATCTTTTTTGTCTATTTTAGCAACAAATGGTGGTATAATTTTAACTTTATTTATCTTCCATATAAAGCGTTATTATAATTTTTATAATAACAATTAAATAAATATTCATGCGAATATGACAAAAAATCTGGCGACGGAAAAATATAGAGTTCACTTACTGCCTTATCTCTCACTCTGATCATGAAATATTTGCCTTTAAAAAACACTTTACTGATACGTGGCCTGAAAAAGAAGAACATCTTTTATTTATTCAATAAAATGAATTGAAATTAATAAAAACTAATTGCATGCGTACAATTAATTGCGACTTAAATAACAAAATATTTAATTACAATTGAAAAAAAATCAATTTTAGCTCTAACTTTAAAATTACTTATTATTTTAAAATACATATACTTTAATATTTGTTTCTAATATTCAGTTGAAATTTCAAAATGATCGATTTCTAACTGCACTTTTCGGTTTTAAATGTTTATTGTTCCTTAATGTCTCTTACAACTAACGAAGAAAAAAAAATGAATACATAATATAACCTACATCTAGAAATAATAAATACATAATATTATGATAATGAATGAAGGTATTTCGCTTATGAGTTTTGTAACAAATGAATAAAAGCTGAAAATTTCTCAAATAAAAATAAAGACTCACCAAAAGTAATTACTCATCCTCTTTTTACTTTTCATGACTATTACTCCACTAGGTGTAAGGCCTAAGAAATATTCCACATGGTCATCACCCTGAAAAATATTGATGCCACACAACCTTCAGTTCTTAACTTCAAAAGTAATTATAATTCCATTATCATTAAATAATTAATAAAAAGTGTATTATTTTTCCATACTTGAAAACGGAAAGATAAACTTTCAAGCCCCATTTTAAAATACAAATTACGGGCAATATCGCTGGCTAATGATTGAACTAAATTTTTTGAACAATTTTCTTGTCACTTGTCTGAGACCAATTATAGGTAAAAATATTTTCCAAGGGATTATCAGGGATTAGTCCATTCTTATATTCAAATAACTGCGTAATTCCTACTTTCAGAAAATGTTCTTCTCGCCTTGATTACTAATTTTTGACTTATTCCTGTACACCGCAAATTGCCCTTACATTATATTACTAATAAGTCAGTCATCTCGTTTCCATAGATGTCACATATCATATTCACGTGATAATATTACAGTAAGTTAGTTACATTACAATTTACCGAAATAACAATTCTCATAACATATAGTTCTTTCGTAACATTCACAATCACAATATTATTTACATGAATATTTACATGATATTGAGATCAGTACAAATTAAAAACTACATACCTGAACTCGGTGTAAATCAACACCATACATATCCAGCCACTTGACTTTTTCCAAGAACGTCATTTCGACGGCCGATGGCACTTTTCCCCTAAAGTTTGACAACCAAAAGACATGTGAGAGTAGTCATCGCGGTTAAAATAATTTTTTTTCAAAGCTTGTTTTTGTTATTATTATTACTGTTTTAAGAATTTGAATTTTTTATCCTCAAATGAATGAGAATCAAGATTTAATGAGGCATAGAGAATTGAAAATGACCACAGATTAGCCATGAAAATGTAACAACTAAAAATTCAATTATCATAATTTTTTTTAAAAACTATATTTTAGAAGTTCATATATTCACTTCGACCTATTTTATAAAATTATTCAGTTATGAGTTTGTTATCATATCTGTCTCATCCAGTAGAACACGTCCCTTTTATATTAGGATTCTCACTTTTTTTTAGTTTCTCATTTTTCTTTTGTGTTTCTAACTTTTAAGCTTAAAACCAAGTTAATTGAACTACTTATACGAGAGTTAAATCGTTTTATTTATTTATTTTATATAATACTTTATGCTCCGCTCACCAACTTCCCTGATTGTTTCTCATCCATCAATTTTTTTCAAAAAAATTTTTAAAGTCGATATTTTTCAACAAAAAAATGTCATTTTATTAATAAAATTAGTAGCTATTATAATTTTTGAAAATTTTAATCGTAACGAAATAAATGATTACCTGGTTTTAAAATTTAACCTACTGAACTTTCTATATACCGTCGTTGAACAGCCGACCCAGTTTTGGGTTTATGACTACAAATGTTGAACTCCGTAGTCTTGAAATTTTGAACCAAGCCAGAAGATAAGGAAACTCCTGGATCAGTGCCCTCAGATGTATAATTTGTTATGGTAACATAGAGGACTTCGAGACTCGGCAGATTTAACGTGCATCAGTCACCATTTACTACATGGGTGTTTTCTGTCTGCGGGGATCGAGCCTACGACCTTTTGGACATAGGTCCAGTGCCCTACAAACCAGGCTATCCTGGCCCAATCAACTGAACTTGAAAAAAAAGTACTTAGAAAAGCAGATGTGACTTAATACGAAGAAATAAAAGGTAAATAACAGTACATAACACTAACCTTATGTTAGCATTTCAAATAAGAAAAAGTTTTTAGCTCTCTAGCCTGCTTGAATTATGCTTATATTTTTTAAAATTTCATTACAAATGTTTTATCTCGCGACATCTCTCCCCTTTTTTTGCCACTTTGTGCTACTGTGGAGGCTACTATATTAAACTTCCTAATTCTCTCTGAACTGGAGTGTACAACTATGGTTTGAGCATCTTACTACAAACCCGGAGATGCTAGGTTTGAGTCCTTTCGACAGCCAACGAAATCTCTCTCACACATTTCTCCCACTTCTGCACAAAATGCATAATCTTTATGCATTTTGTTCAAAAATAAGTACATGTTTACATTTCATTATTTTGCTGCTTCAATTTTAGCGGGGTTCTCAATTTCGACTATTATTTATTTCGGAGTTAATGTGACACATTATGCTCAATTTTGAGAAACATTTTTTTACAGTGTATTTATAAAAGAAAGGCCATTGAAAAAAAGTGTGCCTGTTCTGGTAAAATTGTGGAGATAATTTACTCGATATATCATTCTACACATAATATTATACTGTATACTTCATAAAACAATAAGAAGAATTAATAAGAAGGAAGAAAAGAATCATAATGAAGAATGAAAGAATCACATAACATATTTTTATGATGATATTTCTGTGAAATGTCATCAGAAATCCTAGAAAAAGTTGCTCAGAGATAACTTTTCAAAACCATTTTTTAAAATTGTTTACATTGAAAGATGGTTTTATTCATTGATATAATGATAATATATGGACACTGGAGTGTAGTTCAGGAAAAAATTTACCTATGTTATTGAATGACATAGGTAAACTATGACATTCAATTACATACATTGAATCTGGAAATCTTATTGAGGAGAGACAGGATTTAATTATAAAATGATTTGATTCAACGGAATTAATGTAAATTATTATAAAAAGTTGTATTCGGAACCAATTGTAAACACAGCACTTAAAAGTGATAATAATAAGAAGAAAAAACTAAGTAAACTGAATGAATGAGTTTTCTTTTATCTGGTTTTTCAAGTTAAAGAAAGTAAGTATACTTTGACCTACACGAGTGTTTTGTGTATCTGTTCCACACGATCCTCCAGTTCTGCATCTTGATCAGGACAAAACCGGAATTCAGAAACGTAGAGCTTGTGATGCTTCCGTGGATCGTAATCTCCCAGCTCAGCTGAAACAAAATGAAATTTTTCAACTCTAATATAAAAGCGGTTAAAATACAACAAAGACTTTGTAGTCTGGCGTAAGCGTTTAAAAATGTAGTTTATTGCAATAGTGTGTGTTTAAAGGCAAGATTGTAACGAAACATACTCAACGATGTAGTTACTAGCAGCTTAAAAGTTATAATAACGAGTTTCGAAAATTTAGAATTTCAAATTACTACATGTCTTGGAAATAATCGCGTGTTTGACAACACTATCTTATAAAAAGCGCCGATGTGAGTATACACTTTGCAAATTTGCCATATTTCGCACATGTACTTCATATTCGAAGAAATTTACCTTATTTTGTTTCATATTCTTCCTCAAGTTCTACATTTTGATTCGTATTTACAATACGAGTTAATCACAGCATGCGTATTATTCAGAATTAGAATAATATAATTGTTATCTAAACAAATAATCAAAGAAGAATAAAATTAAATATTTCTGCAAGATTACTAAGTTGCCACTGTACGTACAGTTGTCGCATAATTGTCTAGACCAATAACAAGAGAGAAGTACAGCAATATGAGTTCTGCTTTACATACCACCTATTTACCCTGAATACTTAGAAATAATAAATTTAATTATTAGTTTCATTACATGTCTACATTTAATTGTTATTTTTTACATTGAAAAGTCCATTTTAATAAAGCCAATGTGTATAAAAATATGGATTTACTCTCTTCTATTTTTATTTCTTATGAAATGTTATTGTTGAAAGTGAAGCAGCTAAGAAATCATTGGGAGTTTAAAAAAATCGTTTATTATTATTTTAACGATTTAACATTTTAAAATTCAATCATAATAGCGTTAAAAACATTACTCAAACTAATTTACCTTTGTCAATATTTTTGAATTCATTTAAGAGCTAAACCTTAAATATCTCATTCTATGAAAAATAGACTTATTCGAGTAACGGTAAAAAGTAACGGTTCATACAAAATTACTGCTTTCTTTAACGTTGTTAGGTAGCTGCTATTGTTACTAATCAATCTAAATTAAAATGTTTAAAATCTTATTTCTAAAAAATATCTATGAAATGTTCCTTCACTGGCTGGTCTTAAAAGAAATTTCTGGAAGTGTTTCGCAGAACTATTTTACCAACAATTTTATTAAATTTTAACATTTTCAAAAACCTTATTCTTTACCCTTTTAGGTTTATTATTTCTTCATTAATATACTAATAAGTTTTTTTAGTTCTTTAATTTATGTTTTCTTTAAAGTAAAGTTCCTTTTTCAATTATAGTCAATTTTTTTTAAAAATAATTATTGTCTGCTAGCTAAGAATAAAACCTTGTTAAGAAATTAAAAACATTCCGCAGTTTAAAATTATTTAATGCAAAACAGCTGCTTACTTACTAAGAGAAGAAATATATAAGATAGGAAGCATTTTCCAAGGTAAAAAATGCTTCGTTTATAGAATTATCGTTCACGTTACTTTTTGAACACTTTTTTTTTTATTTACTTTTCAGGATTTAGAATGGAGAAATAATTTAAATAGTGTCACAATTCCCTCCGGGTTTTGAAAAGTTTTTAACAAGCAAAATATTACTAATACATCAAAAAAATTTATTTTGCTTGATCAAGAAACATTACAAATTTTCCCCCCACAAAAGCTCAATTTGTAAATAGTTGGTGTGCGGCAAGCTGCAAATCTAAAGTCGATGCAATATGCCACGATCAATGTTAGCTAAGGCGGCTGTGTTCCTTCGTCGACATGCTGCAATTGAGGTTAATACCACAATTACAGGAAGATTATGCAACAAGATGAAGCACCCCTCCCCCTCCCATTATATAGCGTTCACGGATAGGCGTTCACGATTTCCTAAATCACGATCTACCTCGTCGTTGGATTGAACCCGGGTCCGACAACAACGATTGACTTCCTCCGTGGTCACCGCGCTCTCCAGACTTAACCCTCTGGTACTTTTTTATGGGGTTACTTCAAAGATTATGTGTTTGTGCTCTCTATGCCTCGCGATTTAACAGAATTACGATTTAGAATCACTACCGCATTTGCTACCATTGATCGTAACATGTTGCAGTTAGGGTGACTAGAATTCGACTTTAAGCTTTAAATCTGCCACATCTCCAAAGATTCATATATTGATAATTTGCGAGAAAAAAAATTGTAATGTTACTTTATTGAGAAAAATAAAATTTGTTGATGCATTGGTAAATTTTTATTTTTTTGTTTGTAATAAGCTTACCAAACCACGTGAGGAATTGTGGCACACCCTATATTTTAAAAGTTATTAAACGTTTTCAAAAATTTTGCAAGATTTTTCCACCTAGATAATAAAAACAGTTAAATCAGAGATTAATTCTGAATTTTTTCAAATCTTATTGAGCCCAGAAAAAGAAGCGTCGGAGTAACTTTTTATGTATTAAAAAAAATTAAATCACAGATTAGCTTTTCATTTTTTTTTTTAAAACTGTGGTTTTTCTTCAGTATATTGACGCTTTGCGCCATTTTCAGTATTAGCATAGAAGGCGTTGTCTAAATATAACCTAAACTTAACCAAGTCTCGTTGCAAACTCACAGCAGTTGTGAAAATAGAATATTATTCGATAAAAAAAACATTATTTTATGTGTTGTCAGAGCCATTCCCTTTAACAGGTGTTACTTAAAATAAGGCTGGATCGGAAATCCTTCGAATTTTAAAAACCTCTAACTCAATTAAAGTTTAATTAATTCATCGCAAGAAAACTAGTATACCTTTAGTAAGTTACTATACATAATAAATGATATCGGACAACAAATAAACCTGCCTTAAGTGTTAAACTTTTTTTGAACGTAAACACCAAGACAAATCTTAATACAAAAACTTTTTAGCACCAGATTTAAGTTATGACGAGTTTAGTTTTCTTTGTTACTCAATATTTAAAAAATGATAATAATACCAAATTTTTTTCTTTTTTTGCAAAAAAAAAAAAAAAAAAAAAAAAAAAAAAAAAAAAAAAAAAAAAAAAAAAAAAAAAAAAAAAAA